ATTAAATAAATTAAATTAAATGATTAACACAAACGTGGCCATGCATTTTGGGTGTGCCACATTTGTACTGTAGTGACTTGTTAATCAAAACGCTCGTCCACCCTAACACACAGCCTGCTCAAATTGAGAACATATACTCGTTAACTTTACTTTTCATATCCAAAAGCTGTGTCAGTCTTGTGCAGCTAGGACCACCATAGTAGATTTTTAATCATGCAATCAAGGTGTGGTTTAAATGCAAACTTTCAGCTTTAATTCAAGCTTTAAATCTTTGAGGAATTACAGCCATTTTTATACACAGTTTCAGAGGACCAAAAGTAGTTAACCAACAAGTTCATTGGAAATCTACAAAATAAATCAATCAGAGACAGCAAAAACTTTGGGAGTGACCATATCTGCAGTGTCATTCATTCTTACATAGAAAGAATGTACTGGTCAGCTCAGGAACACCAAAAATGGCCTGGAAGACCACAGAAGACAGTTAAAGTGGGTGATGACAGAATTATTTCCATGGTTAAAAAAAAACACAAACAAACTAACCAAGTCAAGAGCACTTGACTTGGAAGGAAGGGCTATAGTCTCTGCTCAGATTCAGCCAAATGCTACAAAATTGATCAAGCACTCTCAGCCAAACAGCGCATGCTTTTCAGTTATTAATCAAATCAAGTGATTTGATTTGAAATACAAAACTGACTGCAGACAGACCCACAGACAAGCAGCAACTGAGGGTGGCTGCAATAAATGCTGTGTGTCCATCTCAAGAGAGCAAACACAGCATTTCATGATGTGGATTATAGACAGTCATAAACTGCAAAGGATTTTTTTTAAATCCTTATATTTAAAATGTTGTTAGTTTGTCCAATTGCCTTTGAACCTCTTGGAATAGAAGTCTGTGTATATAAAGTGCTGTAATTCCTAAACAGTTCATGCTAAATTTGTCTTAAACCCCTGAATTAAAGCTCAGTGTACACTTCAATCACATCCTGATTGCTTGATGTAAAATGTGGTGGAGCACAGACTCAAAACATAATGATCTAACTTTGTATAACGCGAACGAGGGAAGCCATTTTTAGTATGAGCTCAGTCCTCAGCATCTGTAGTCATGTAGTATTTCTTTTCCTCCTACTTTACAACTTATTAGAAAATTTGCTTTTGCTTATTCAAGATTCAAGATTCTTTATTTGTCACGTGCATGGTTATACAGGTATAACACGCAGTGAAATGTGACCTGATACGCTCCTCGACTGTGCAAAGAAAAAAAGAGACAGTCCTGTGCTACAGCGAGGCCAGAAGGATTCAGGATGATATGAGAATGTGGTAATGAGTCCTGTCTCAGTCACTTAAGGATGATGGGGGGAGGGGAGGGGGCGGCTGATTCAACACACGAATGGCCTGAGGATAAAAACTCCTCTTGAGCCTCTCTGTTCTTGTTCGGATGGTGCGGAACCTTCTGCCTGATTTCAGAAGCTGGAACAGTTTGTTGCTGGGATGGGACGGGTCCTTCAAAATCTCAGTTGCTCTAGTCCAGCATCTCCTGACGTAAATGTCCTGTAGGGAAGGGAGAGCAGTCCTGCAGCAGCGTTCTGCCTTACGGATCACTCTCTGAATAGCCTTTTTTTATCCTTGAAAACAGCTGTTTCCATACCAGGATGTGATGTTCTGTGTGAGGATGTTCTCCACAGCGCCTGCATAGAAATTTTTATATTATTATTTATATCATCTTGCTTGACATTGTTTGCTTGTTTCTTCCCTTATGGCTGTGGTTGATCTCTGATCTTAAGTCACTGGATCAGTTTCCTGTACTCTCCACACAGAAATACAGTGCAATGTTATTAGAGGACTCATGTAATTCCCTAAAGGGTATTTTCACTTTAGAGCACACCATGTGAACCCTCATCTTGTTCCTTATTTTATACTTTCCAACCTTTACTTGTTGCCACAGATGAGTGTCCTCAGTCTCCGGGGGCTGAGAGTCGTACGTCAGCCCACAAGGAACGCATCGCAGCCTTGGAGAGACAGCTCAACATTGAGCTCAAAGTCAAACAGGGAGTTGAAAATATGATCCCTGTTTACTCCAATGGATCCACCAAGGTACGGAACAGCCTACACACACACACACACACACACACACACTGTCAAGCACAGCTGAACAGGAGAAAGTGTACAGCACTGACTGCAAGGGTTAAAATGTCCAAGACAAAGATTCCCCTCTCCCAAGTGGCAGACTGTGTGCACACTTTCATGTTAGTAACCTTGCCATCTGCTGACTCATAAATACCTGATAAATACACACATGTCCACCCTTTATTACTATATACATTACCTTTGTTTCGTTGTCTTTTAGCCTTTCTGTTCCATCTCCACTTGTCTTACTGCTACATTTAAATACCTGTGCAGGGATATGGCACCCTGTCGATTCGTCAGTAAAATTAGTTATATATTTGCTTTTGTTTTTGTAAAGTGACAAACATCATTCCTTTAACCTTGTATTTTTTATATATGGTGAGATCTTATAATCTTATAATCAGGATCTTATAATATTTTTTTATTATTTTGTCACATATACACCCTAGTTTCTTTTTTTTAAGATTTGATATCTTTAGCTTTAGATTTATTGATTTATAATGTTTAATCTGATGGCAAGTAAATGCAGGAAAACCTTGTTGTGATGTTCACTAACTGGTGTATAGTCTTAATGACAGTTATAATTGTCTACTTTTTCTGTCTTGTGATGTGGCTTGCTTACTGTTTGGTTCCCCAGGATAAGAAGATGCTGCAGACGGCGCAGCAGATGCTTCAGGACAGTAAGACCAAGATCGATATCATCCGCATGCAAATTCGAAAAGCTGTTCAGGCCACGGAGCATAATGACGACACACAGGGTGAGTTTAAAGGGATATAGAAAAATTTAACCACATTGATTGCTCTTCTTTTGTAGTACCTGTGCTTTTTGACCATGGTCTTTTCATTTCCCGAGGTACATTTTATATATGTCTATAAAGTAGAGAGCCAACAGAGGTTACAATTACACAGTCAGGGCCATAAAGCATCAGTGCACCCATTGCTGATCCAAATCACAGTAAATTGGTCTGTTGGCAGTAAATCAGTGTGGATACGCAGCTTGCTCAAGGCTGCAGTTAGCCAACAATCACAATTAAATGTTTATTTTCAAAACTCCTGTCAGACAGAAATTAAATCCAACCTGCTCTATTGCATATAAAGCCAGAAAGAGTGTTAAGTTGGCTCGTACTTACATAATGTGTGAACTAAACGATCGCATATTAAATCTTGTGGTCAGCTGGCAGTGACAAGGTGCTTTTAGTCAGGTGTTTTTTTAATCTCTCTATCCCTTTGTGGCATTTGCAGTCTCTTTTTTCTTCTTCTCTGC